GAGCTCGATGGTGCCGCGCAAAAGAGTAAACAGAGAATAATCAGCCTTGGATTGATGGAACCCAAAGTGTTTTAATGCAGAGGTGAGTTTAGCAAACCAACAACGTGGAGCCTGTCGAAGACCATAGAGAGATTTATGAAGACGGCAAACCAATCCTTTACCGCGAGAGGCAAACCCGGGGGGAAGAGTCATGTATATTTCATCGCGAAGGTCTCCATGAAGAAATGCATTATGAACGTCCATCTGATGTAAGAACCAGTTCCGGGAAGCGGAAACAGCTAAGAGAGTGCGAACGGTAACCAATTTAGTTGTTGGTGCAAAAGTTTCTTTAAAATCAATTCCCTCTTTCTAACGATTGCCAAGCACTACCAAACGAGCTTTGTAGCGTTCAATGCTACCATCAGACTTGTGTTTGATTTTGTAAACCCACTTAGATCCGATTGTTTTCCTTCCTGGAGGCAAGGGGACGAGTGACCAAGTACCATTAGCTTCCAACGCCTGAATTTCTTCCTTCATAGCTTGTACCCATAGCAGATTTTTGACCGCCTCAGAAAAGAATGTAGGCTCAACATCTGCACTTATAGCTGCCAAAAAACATCTATGGGAAACAGAAAATTTGTCAGCGTTAATAAAATTTGTAATACAGTGTGCTGTACCTGAAGGTGTTGTTGGTTTGAGTGAATTAGGAGAGGGACGTTGAATGGTGTGAGTGACAAAGTCACGCAGTCGCGAAGGAGGACGACGTTCTCTTTCACTTCGGTGCAAAGTGTCTTGGGTTGGAAGGGTTTGGTTATCAAGGGCAGAAGAAGGTTGGACTGGGTCATTGGGTTGGCTGTTTGGTTCTAATGTTGCAGGGTTTTCTGGATTGGATTGGAGCAACGGTCGACCGGGGTCCTGAGAACGGTCCAGTGTTTCGACCGTCTGGGTGGCTGATTCTTCACTGCGTATTTCTTCCTCAAAAAAATTCGACCGTCTGGGTGGCTGATTCTTCACTGCGTATTTCTTCCTCAAAAAAATCAGCAGTGGGTTCAGGTTCTGTGAGATTGGGGGTATTTTGTGAATGGAAGGGAAAATGGTTTTCAAAGAACTTGACATCTCGGCTGACAAATATTTTATTATTGTCCAAATCGAGAATGCGCCATCCTTTTTGGCCAAATGGATAGCCAAGGAACATGCAGCGTCGAGAACGGGACTCAAATTTGTCTCCATGGTGGGATTGATTGTGGGCATAGGCAAGGCATCCGAAAACCCGGATATGACTATATGAGGGGGTTTTTTCATAGATCATGGAATATGGGGTTTTGCCTTTGTGTAGCTCAGAGGGTGTTCGGTTAATTAGATACGCAGCGGTTAGAATACAATCACNTAGAAAATAATAAGAGGGAAAATATTCTGTATATTCAATTGTTCTGTTTAGTTACAAGGGGTTTCTCCTTTATTTATAGGAGAGGATGATTCCAAAATAGACAAGGAATACAAATCCTACAAGGAAACAAATCATAATCAAACTAGGAAACAAATAAATCAAGATCAATCCTAATTAGAATGGGATTCGGTCATCAAAGGATTTGGACTTCTCAAGTTCGGATTTCTCGGGATTCGGACCTCTCGGAATTTGGATCTCTCGGAATCCGGATTCCTCGGAAGTCGGACTTCTCCGGATCCGGACTTCTCCGGATCCGGACTTCTCAGTTCCAATAATTCTCAAAATAAAAGTTAAAAATTTATTTACATTATCAATCATTACCATGTACATTATCAAAAATATAGTAAAATACTCATGTACAGTGCACATTACCACAGTGCAAATGCCTATTTAGAAATTAAAACTTGGAACTCCTATTTTGGTAAATTCTCTATGTTTTATTCGTATTTATGGTGATTTTTTCCCATTCAAAATACATCAATGTAAAATATTAAAAATATTGGTATGAATGCTAAAATTAGTGTAAACCTAGAGAAAGAACGTACTAAAATAAAATTTTCACGTTTTCTTTCAAAGATAAGACTTAAAATTAAATTTCAATATAAAAATCTAGTTTAAGTTCCATTCTTTTTCTTTTTTTCTTTTTCTGGAAAAAGGGTGGGCTTTTGAAATAGTCTAGTAGAGAACCATTTCTTTCCTAACTACTCGTATTCGGCTTTTACCCAGAAGATTATCATTAAACTGTACTGCTAAAGTGGGCTTAGGTACAGCCTGTAACTTTCTTTGCCTAATTTTTGTTACAGGCCAGAGGGCCTGCGACTACATCTCATGTGTAATTATATTTAAGCTGTACTTCATTCAATTTTAAATTTTAGTTACTAAAACTAATGACTTAAAATTCATTTTTTTTTTTTTGAACTCTGATTTTTAGAATCAAATTTTCAAACACTTCATTTGTCTTCGAACAATCTTGCACTTTGTTTTTTGGGAGTCTGTAAATCAATAGTCCCTCCGTCCCAGAGTATTCGTCCAGTTTTGACTTTTGGAACTGTTCATTTAAGCACTTTGACTCATCAAATTCTCTCAATGTGTAAGCCGAAATATAGTCATATGTGATCTTGTTTGATTTGTCTTAACATATATATTATTAATATATAATTTCTATAATTTTTTAATATACAAATTACAAGATAAAATGGACTAAAAAAGTGCATTGGATGGTGTGTAAAAATGAAAGTAGACAAATACTCTGGGACGGAGGTAGTATTACACTTATATACTTTCTCTTTTACACAACAAATATCTAGAAAGCATTATGTCAAGGAACCAACTCAACAGAAAATTCAAAGTTTTGATTGTGGCTCTATAAAGATTCCTTATATCCTAACACATTTGACTGTGTTTGAAAAAAAAACATTTTTGTCTAGCGTAATTGTTTTAGATAAAATTATAATGATATAGAGATTAATTTTGAAAAGACTAAAGTTAAAGGCCTAACGCTAAAGTCAAATGTTGTTGTAAAAAATGGCCTTGATATGCATTTTTAACTTTTTTTGTTAACTTATCAACATTCTTTTAGTTTGATGAAGTCAAATTCTTTATGGGTAATGATAGTTACACCCCACCAAAATACTAAACTCACCCTCACACTAAATATTTTGATAAAATTATATTTTGAATTAAAATACAGAGCATAATTTTAAATTATTAGATATGATATCTTGTTTTAAATAAAAATTGTAATTTTTATAATGCTGTACATTTATTAAGATTTATATATTTTTTCTGGAAGAGTAGTAATGAAGGAGAAAAATCATGAGTCCCTTTAAAGTTTTATATAAAGCGTTGTTTTTGAAATAATAAAACTTATATAACCTTCTTTTTAGAATAAAAAAATAATTATGTAGAATAAACAATTAAAATAATGAAATGCATATCGGTATAGTACTTAAAAATGAAAAAATTTTACATAATTAATGGATATTAAAAGTAATAATATTAATAATAAAATTTATCTTAGTTAATAAAAAATTAAATAAGAGATGACAAATTTTTTTTAAATAAATTATAATTTATATTGTTTGAAAAGTACAGAGTAATAAAATGAAGTAGCTGGTGGGTACTTTTAAAGTTTTAAATATAATGTTTTTTTAGATTTAAAGTTTATATAACTTCTTTTATTAATAAAATAAAATTGTATTACGAGATGTATCTAGTTAATGGTGTGTATTTAGTCTTTTAGCGGGTGAAGCTATCATCACTACCCATTCTTAATTAGGTTCATTTGAAGATGGAAGAAGTACTTTATTGTACTACTCCATATTTTTAAATTGAGGAAATTCTATAAATAATATTTTATAACTAGCAGTTTTAATATTTAGTCCACATTTATCAAATACTATGTTGATTGTCCGTATTAATTGGGTACCATTTCATATTTGGTCTTCCATTTTCGTGCCGTTAGATAAGGACTAAATGTTGAATGATACTGAACTAATAAGAACCTCAAATATAATATTTCATAAATATGAACTAAATATGAAAATTCTCAGTTATAAAGGACTACTTAGAGAATTTACTATTTTCAGAACATGTTTTAATGTAGAAGTTAATAAATATGAAAAGTATATGATTGTAGTTTGTTCATAAAAAGTCAAAATTTGTACATTAAAACATAGTTCACCAAAAATTTTATTTTTTAATACGAGAATGAGTTTGGAATTGATAGAAATTTAAAAAAATAAGAAATCAATCCAAATAAGAGTAAAGAATTGCATGTATCATCAAAATAAGAGTTTCATTTTTTTTCCTCAAAATAGAAGTTTGCATTGTAATGTTATGAAATTGTATAATGGGATCTCACTATTTTTTGGGTACTACATTGGCATTAATAGCATTCTATTTTGGAGATAAAAATACGAAACTCTTAATTATGGTACTTACATCATTTTTATTTTTTTAAGAATCATGTTTTATTTCTAGTTAGGAGAATTATCTAAATAGTATTAGAACATAATAATTTTTCCAATTTGGTACCATATGTTTTTATTTTTCAATGTATTACCGCTGGTCATTATCCACTGGTCATTGTTCAAGTAAATGTCTACTGCCACTCGACATTGTTCAAACTAAACGAGTAAACGTCCACCATTACTGGACATTGTTCCCGTCACTAGATATTATTCAAGTACTATTTAGAAAATAAAAAAGTATAAGTACTATATTTAAAAATGACATATGTTTTAGAATTATTTAGTACAAAATTCACTTTCTAATTTAGTTTCTTTTCCAAAACAAATTAAAAGTAATTAATCCGTTTAAAGAAGAGCAATCCCTTTTTGGTAATTTTTTTTAAAGACGGCTAATTAGAGGAACCACAAGCACTCACACAGGTTACGGACTAGTTGTCCACTTTTGCTGTAGAGAGAATTTTTTGAAAGAAGTGATTGTGTTGTGTTCTCATTTCTGCCCCGCATGGCATGTTCAACTCACGTGTACTTATTCCCATCATTTCCCAATTGAATACATTGCTTAAATGTAAGAAGTAATGCTACACCCGCGAGGTGTTTTTGACTTTTGATAATTTAATTTTCACATTAAAATCTACTTCTTCTCTCCCCGAAAGAGATTTCCTTATTGATTTTTTAGAAAATTAAGAAAGAGATATTTTAGTGTTGATTTTCAAAAAATATCTTTGATGTGATGGATAATAGTAAAATGTGATAAATATATTATATAGTAAAAAAGTGTGAAGTAATAGGTAGGATATAAAAAAGCAAGGGATAGAAGTGGTTTTTTAATAGAAAATGGAAAGAGTTTGTGGGATAAAGAAAAAATGAAAGGGGAAAATGTTTCAGAAATGGAGGGATTATTACTTATGTCTCTAAAAAAAACTTATTGTGTGGGCTAGCTATAATAGCTATATGATTTGATTCTTTTTTGTTGTTGGAAATGCGTTTAGCAAAAAATAAGTTACCCGTCATGGTTTGGTTGAGTTGTCTAAAAAGAGATTGAGATGTTACCACATGTTGTGTGGGCTAGCTATAATAGCTGATTAAGATGCTAGACCCGTTTGTCAAAGTGTTAACCAGTTCAGGCTAGTTAGCACTTGAGAGAGAGTGTTGGAGTTTCCACTTTAAAAAATAAAAGATGAATACTACTAGCATATATAGAAGAATGCAGCCTTACCTATCAACTTGAGTTTTTGAGTTAGAATAGTATCCCGACTTAATATGAATTTATCTAATTTTACCTGACACACTACATGTGGTTCTCGACCCACCAAAATTTTAACATCTACCTATAATAAATGAGAAATTTGATGAATCTTATATATGTGTGTGTGTACATATTTAAGTGTATTTTGAGATGTGCAGAAAAGATACGGAGTATTTTTTTTATAGAGGGGGAGGAGTATAACACAAACACCACCTAAGGGGTTCTTCTTACTCCTAATATAACCCCCTTCATTATATCCCCCGGCCCACATCTTCGATTTGTCTGCACATAACAACATGGTCTGAGAATGAAATAATAATGATCGAGGAAGATGTACGACGGATATAATATTAGGCTATGATATACTCTCTCCGTCCTATAATGATCTTCCCAGAGCACTATTCCAACTTCACGGGAATTTATATTTATTTATGTTTTTTCATGGCCTATATGATAAAATAAAATATTCTTGTCACCACTTGTTTTGTTGAACTTTTGGTGTAGTTTTTACAAATGTATGTTTTATTTTTTATTTCTATACCAATATTTAAATAAAATAGATTGAAAAAATTTGGGATTTTTCTTCGTTTTGCGAACCGGGAAGATCATTATAGGACGGAGGGAGTATTTATTAATACTCCCTCCGTTCTCAAAATTACTTCCTCTTTCATTTTTTTCACTTCCAACAAAACACTTCCCCTTTCTATTAAAAAACTACTTTTATCCTTACTTTTTCATACCCTACCTATCACATCATACTTTTTCTCTAATAATCTATCCATCACATCTTACTTTTACCCATCACATCAGGGGCAAAATTGGAAATCAACTACTCCTTATTTTTGCACTTCCTTATTTTTGGAGTATAATTTAGCACTTCCTTATTTTTGCCTCCAAATCAAATCAGAAGG